CTGGAATCAGAGATGTGCTCTTTCCACTCTTTCCAGAATCCTATGTCTACTCAAAAGCTGTACTTTCTTTTTGTTTAATGCATAGTTTTTATCACAGTTCAGCTGTGAAAACTGCAACCACAAACCCATAATGAAGAATAAACATCAAACACTAGGAATAGCTATCTTGATTTGCCTTTGTACACAATTGTTTATAAATGGTTAGACATATACCAAAAAAAAAAAAAAAAAAAAAAAATCCAAAACTATTGCTGTTGAGTCGATTCTGACAGTGACCCTATAGGACAGAGTAGAACTGCCCCATAGGGTTTCCAAGGCTGTAAACCTTTACAGAGGCAGACTGCCACATCTTTCTCCCATGGAGTGGCTAGTGGGTTCAAACCCCTGACCTTTCAGTTAGCAGCCAAGCACTTTAACCCTTTCATGAGTAATAGGATATATGTTTGCCCACCTACATTTTCCATGTCTCAGGTTTCTGGGGAACTTACTTTCTGCTGCAAGGTGAGGACCTGTATAACTGTTTGAAATGGGCCTGTGCTGCAAATTACTGTTTTCACAAGGTACTGTATGAGGGAGTGCATCCTGGGGCATCCTGTAGGGGGCATATATTTCCCACCAACCTGCAGCCCAGCCCAGATGGAAATAAGTGACCCAGAGGCCAGCAGGACATATGCATCCCCCCAATTCTATCCCCAGAGTCCAGAGGGACATATGTGTTCCACCAATCCTACCCCCATCTCCCAGAGGGACACCCTGAATTCAGACACATTCAGTGATTCTGCATGTATTCCATCAATGAAAAAAATATCAACAAAAAATTTAAAGTGAAAAATAATTTGGTCATGAAATGGTTTTAACCACTGCACCATGAGGGCTTCTCATTAGATACATACCAAATAAAAAATCTGGTAACTTCAAGTTGATTCTGACTCATAGTGACCCTATAGGACAGAATGGAACTGCCCCACAGAGTTTCCAAGGAGCGGCTGGTGGATTCGAACTGCTGACCTTTTGGTTAGCAGCCATAGCTCTTAACCACTGCACCACCACGGCTCTGTTAGACACATAGAGGACTTTTAATAAGATCTGATCATAACACTCCACATAATATTAAAATAGCATTAGTTCAATTCAGAGATACTTTTGGAAATAAACAATTGGGAATCTCACAATAGACTGCCAACAGTCAGTTGACATGCTCTGAGATTATGTGTTTTCATTTTACCATTCAAAAACATTAAAAACTAATGCAAATACTTAAGGATCTCAAACATCTTTAAACTTTCTCTTTCTAGGTGTAGTGATTTGAATACTTAAGAGAAAAAGATATATAAAAGAAAGTAAAATGCCAATTCCACCAGGATATCTTGGATTGAATTTCTTTCTTGATGAGATTTACTTGACTGTGCACTAAGCCATTGTGAAGTAGGGTACAAGCTGTTCTTCAGTCTCTACTCTGTAAAATATCTCCTCATTATTGTACAAATATCAGCATCAAACTAGGGAAAAATCGGGGAGAGTTCATGGTTCTTATGGCAACCCACAGCAAGTGATGGTGTCTTAACAAAATATAAAATCACCTCCAACCCTGAGCTGGAACAAACTATAGGAAGGCAGCAAACAAGCCCTGTAGTATTGTTTTAGATGAAGTACAATGATAGCTCTGCACTTCCTCCAGGCCTCCTCTTTCTTCCTGAACGAACTCCAGGGAACAGCATCATGTCAGGCTTTCCAGATGGATTATGTGAAGCCATAGCTCAATGTCATTTTCAATAGGAAGCCTCATAATTAAAGGTCAAATAGTCACTTCATCTGCAATCAATCAATAGAAAAAGTACTAATACGAAGAACTAATCAATCAATGGCAAATGCACTAATAAAAGCAATGAATCAAATTCAGCATGTGTGTGGATGCAAGTACATGGAAGAGATTGAGATAGGGCAAAAGCAAGAACAATAAAATAAATTGAAGGTGTATGTACAAGAGAATATTCAGGAAGCTTCTCAAGCAAGAGTATTCATCTTTGGTTTATCAGTTACATGGGAACACTTGCCTGCAATGATCTACTCTTAAACACAAATAATGGAGATAGTAATAAATGGTATTTCATAAGGCACACTTAATATATTTATTCTATTTGAGATATTAAAGATATATATGGAAAATCACTAGAAGAAATATTACATGACAGTGATTATACAAGGGAAAGATATATACTTTTTAAGTGTCAGATAGATACTGTAGTCCATTATATTTCACTTTTGTGTGAGAAGTGAGAGAAAGTATAATGGAGAGTATAACCTCAGATTTTCCCACCTCCTGCTTTCTGGAATATGAATTCTCCATACTCTGTGTGATGTTCTTTAATTTCCACGCATATAAGAATTTCCACTGGGATAATTATCTGCCTATAGCTCAGGTCACTGCCGTGGCATATCCTCTGTACCAGTGATGGTGGGTCACCAGTAGACGGAAACATGCACTGGCTCTTGGGAGAGCTGATATAGTAAATTATAGGGCTTAACAAGGCCCATTCTAGCAATAGGATCCAAACGTGCCCCACTATATATGGAAATTAGGGCACTTCCAGGACAAACGTGATCCATTCCACCTCTCTGAGATAAGGGAAGCAGCAGAGAGCCCATTTACATAAATGCTACCTAGGACATGCCGAAGGGAAGCCAGGAGTGATCCAGGAATGATAGAATATTTGAGTTGGGAGCCACCTTAGAAATTATTTAGTAAAATTCCCTAATTTCAGAGATAAGGAAACAGGGGCCTGGGGAGGTATTAGTAGACGAGCCAGGACAAGCACTCAGGTCTTGCAATTCCAAGAGAGCTGTCACATTATGGGAGTAACAAAGGATTCCCACTACATGGTTACACTAGTATCTTATTGGAGGATCTAACCACCTACTTCATGGGAGAACACTGCAAAAGAAAACAAAAGTCCAAGTTTATTCGGCCCTTTCCAGAAAAACAACTACTTCTGACTGGTGTTCAGAGTACCCATCTGCTTGTCTGGAAATGAGCTTTCAGAAAGCACCAAGAACAGAAGAGTATGGCTTTGGGATTAAGAAAAATGAAAAGACAAAAGATTAAATTGGTAGATATTTTGCTTATAGAAAAGAAAAGAAATCACCACACTGCACTGGAGAGTTCTTTGTTCAACATAGCCAGCTCCAGCATAGAAGAACATCACGGAGGAAAAAGAAAATCCATTTTGGTTTTCCTGACAAAAGCAAATCCCTAGGGGCAGCTCGGGTTCAAAGCCCATTGCAGAAATGCAGAAATGTACCTGGTGCAGCCATGGCCTCGCATGTGCTCTGAGGACACGGGCTCATTTGATCGTGCACTCTGGACTCGGAGGCGTCTGGCAGCACCTGCCTCTGCACTACCTACCTTTATAACAGTCCCTTACCTTTTAGGAGACCTAGAATACCAGATGCCATATCACAATAACACACACAGCAAACAAGAGCAAGATGATTTTTTTGAGGTCAGCAACTAAACCATACTCGTTACATGAAAGTCTACACGACAGGGTGAGAAAAATGGAACACTGGAAGCAGTAATACAAGTTATAACTAACAGAGTTAATAATAACTAATTATAATAACAACTAATAATATCGTTTCTAGAGTGGTCTACTATCTGCCAGGCACTACACCAAGCTCTTTATGGGGGCTTTCCCATTTAATCCACAGCAATCCATGCAGTACTGCTATTAAACCCATTTTGTCATGTATTAACACCTATTATGTACCAGATGCTGTGCAGGTACTTTTCAAAATGTGTTATTCTACTCCATTTTACAGATGAGAAAGCTAAGTTTCAGGGAGATTAACTGATTTGTCCAAGGTCACAAAAATCAGGATTGGAATATGGGTTCCAAAGCCCTTTCAACTTTGATTTAATGATGATTATGAAGAAGAAAACCAAACGAATATACTGCAGTGCACAGACTGTATATATAATTTATTCAGCTGAAGACCTACGTAACAACTGCTTCTAAAAGAATTTGTTCTAAATCATTGTTCTAAACTTGGTAAGACAGATATAGGATTTACCAGACAAATATATTTGCGATTAGTAAAAACATTATGAAATATCTTCATTTTCTAGATTATAGACTGCATTTCTTTACCATGAGCAGACCCAGAGCAATGGCATAATTCTTCCTTTGCTTAAGTGAGTGAATCACGTGCCAAAATGAGTTTTCGCTGATTTAATGTGAGTGTTTACCACAACATGCCTATCATCCTCAAGGAGTTTGTGAATGACGTATATTTCAATAAAACTTCGGATTACTTAATGACTTTTAATGACTAAAAGCATAGATTCCGAATGTCTGGACAGGTTATTGGTATAATGCCACTAAACTGGATAAAGCTAAGTAGAAGATAGCACTTTCCTCCTTGATCTATTTTTGTCCATTAAATAAATACTTACTTCACTTTCAATTTCAGATTGAGTTAATGCTGACTATATGGATTTTTTTAATAGAGATAACATAACATTCCAAAATGGACTTCAAACCAATGTCAATACTGAATTAGAGTAATAACTTTATCTCCACCTTGCTCCAAGCTCCCAGAAAAGAAGTTACATTTTCCAGGGGCGACTTTATAGCCTTCCAAAGCAAAGTTATTGCCAGTTCGTTTTTTGGAAGCAGTTTTTTTTTCTTCTCCTTCCTTGACTGTTAATGTTAACATTCAACATTGAAAATCTCTTATGGGAATCAAAAACATGATTACAAATTAAGCTAAATCTAACACTGTTGAATTTAGGCCCTCAGAAACTGGTTTGGTCAATAGTATCTCAAAACAATGACTCATCTTCACTTTGCTATTGTTCTTTACCACACAGAGTGTGCAATAACCCCATTCCATTTAATTTGAAGAGCTCCTTGAACTTCAAAATCATAAGACGTAACTATATGAGTTGATTTTCAATTCTGTGAATTAAACGTTGGTTTTCAAGTCTGCGAATCACTTACCCAATGTGAGAGATTTGTGTGTCGAACAGAAAATGATGGCCACTGTGTCTGCTGGTGTGAAACCCGAATTACTCCTAGGGGAAAAAAAGTTTTTTACAAATACTTTTCTCAAAAGCCTATTTAACACATCATAAATCAAATATAATACCTACCTTCATGTTAACATCCCTTTGACAAATCCTTGTGACAGAAGTAATTTTACGCCCAAATGTACAGAAGTATTTGAATTTCTTTTTAGAGAATCATTTCTGAGTAGTTTATCTATGAAAAGGAGACTATTTTTAAAAATGTGTGGTAGAGGTCTCCTAAGATCACATGTACAATACACAATATCCCTATTTACAGATGAGAAAACTGAGGCACGCAGCTAGTTAAGTGACAGACTCAGGATTCAAACTGACTCTGGCTCCTGAGTATGTGCTCTTAACTACTAAAATAACTACTATGGTCCAGGACTTTATGAAATTAATGTAGCAAGTAACTCTTTTAGCTAAGTCATAGGTTATCTATTACCCCAGTGGTTTGAAAGAGTTACTGTAGCTCTACAAATGCTTCTCTCAAAGGTCAACATATCCTTTCAGTAGGGAACACACACTTTTGAGAAATACATGCTCTGAACAATGATTGAACATCATATGTTTTAGTAAAAATAATAATACTATCATATTTTGAGCAGCCACCATGGGTCAGGCACAGCTCTAGGTCTTTACATGTAAAGACAACAACCTCGTAAGGCAGGCGATAAGATATCCCTATTTACAGATGAGAAAACTGGGCCACAGAGCTGTAAGTGACAGACCCAGGATTCAAACTGAGTCTGGCTCCTGTGCCTGTGCTCTTAAGTTAAGCATTAAAAGAACAAAATAAACAAAAAAATCCTCCTTGAGTCAAAAACCATTAAATGTTATAAAGAGGCACTACTGACAGAAGATATCATAGTCAGATTTCCTCTTTAAAAGAATTAGAGAACCACAAGTAGAAAAGGTTCAATATATAATTATTCCTATTGTGTCCTCTTTTATATTTTAGAAACTAGCGCATCCTGTAGAATCCAGGTTTGAAGCTCTAGTGAATCTATTCACTTCCTGCCCAGAATTCGGACAAGAGAGTTAGCAAATGGAAAGTTTCTCCAGAACCCAGCTGTACATATACACTTGCAGACAGAACAATCTATCCAATTTTTAAAAATCTCTGAAGAAAGAGATCCCACCATTTGCCATAGTAACCTTGTCCCCATACTTAACAACTTTCACTGGCAGAAAAATCTTCTCTAAATCAAAGGCAAGAAGAGCCCTCTCCTCTCATCATCCCCTATACATGTGTAAAGAGAATATTTAAATTGCCCTTTGGTCATCTCTACTCTGAAAAGTCACTTATCTTCATGACTCCTAATCAGTCTTAACTCCATTTCTTTGACAACAACTTTCCAAACTGAATTTTTGGTATTTCATCTTGGTATCATTTGAGTATAATAAGATTGCATTAAAGTTCCACATTTCATTCTCTTGTTTATATAGTGACGTCATGCTTGTTTCTTAACCATTGTACTACATGGCTGACATATTCCTTCATCCCTTTATTCCTCATGTAGGCTTAATGGGGAAGGAGTTCTGTAAGGTTCTGTAAAAGCACGGGCTGAGAGATGATAAGAGCACAGATATATACTCTCTAAAAAAGATAGAGAAACTGAGATATAGAGAGAGAGGAGAGAGAGAGAAGAAGAAAAAGAGGTGGAAATGAGGTCTGGCACAAGGACTACCTCTAGTCTGTGGTGGAGGAGGGAGGGTAGTGGTGGTGGTTGATGATGGCGTACATAGGAAATGTTCTTGGAGGAAATAACAATTGAACTGGGCCTTAAAGAACAGGTTTAGACATAATCAGATGTGTATTTTAGGTAAGGAATAATAAAACTGAAGCATCGTTGTGCTGGGGCAGTCAGCAAAGAGAAGGTTCTTCAGGCTGACTGGGGTGCAGAAGTGCGGACTTGATAAGATGGGCTAAGTGGAACCACTGCGGGTCTTTGGACAGTGGAACGACACGATCAGACCTGTTCTTAAGGAGCAGTAATCACACTGCGTGGTGTAAGACTAAAGATGGTGAGACTAGTCAGGAAGCAGGAAGTTTTAAGCGCCTGAAGAATCATAGTGAGAGCAGGAGATGGAGGTAAGACACACAGAAATAAAATTAAAAGAACTCGTCAAATGTTAACATCTTATGCAATATACTCCCTCCCAAAGGCTTAAGAGCACAGGCTTTGGGGAAAACACGCCTGATTTAAATCCAGACTATCTTTTTGCTTATACATAAAAGGCAGATAATATGGCCTGCCACTTACGCCGTGTGAGGATAAATGCCAATATTTGTAAAGATTTTGGCACATTGTAAGTGTTCAATACATGCTAGCTGATATCATTATTGTTATTATTATTGCTTTGAAAGACGAGAAGGAATTAAAAAGAAATTAGAAAATTTGAGCATTAAGACATTAACAGAAAAGGGAAATGGAAGAGGAGGATGGGGCTTGGGGAGGAGGCCAAGGAGTTGATGTTTAAATGTAGTTTATTTGTAATAGTGAGAGGGGACGGTGTTTTCAAGAAATCTTGTGAAGAGAAGGAAAAAGTTGGGGGAGATCTGAACGTGATTGTGAGGAGAGACTGAAGATGCAGTAAATAGAAATAACTGATGAAATCAGGTCCCCAAACAGGGCTCAGGAGATAAGACTGAGGAGGTTAGCCTGAGAGGGGAGTACAGCCTCTGAGATGGAAGAATAGAAGGTGAGTGAAAAATACGGAAAAATTTCAGATAGAGAATGGGAAAGTAGAGGTAATTTGTGTCAGGAGATTTTATTTTCTTTGAAAGTATGAGGCATTTTACTCATCCACAGAGAGTTTGGGGTAATTTTGAGGCCTGGGAACTGAGGAAATTAGAAAAGGTTGAGACAGGCAGATTGGGGAATACAATATCCAATCAAATCATGATGAATAAAAAACTTTCCGCAGGAGTGAACAACCCCCCTGCAATTGTAGGGCATGGAGCATAACCAAGTGGCCTGGTTTTGGGATGTTCTCCAGCAATGCTTGTGGTGTTAGCAACAACACAAAGACCTTTTCAGTCTTTGGCTGCCCTTGTGTATAACCGATCATGGCTGCATCTGAATTTATATAGTTTGGTTTTCTTCCAAGAGAGTCTGGCAGTTTACTTCCCCTTTAGTGAACTGTGTTCTGTTTGATATCTTGCTCTTTTCCAGATTATAGTACATTGCCAATGTGTCAAAGTCTCTCTGGCCAAGGAGACTGATTTAATGTGGTGCTAGCAGCCATGAGAGCAGCATTTACAATGTAGCTAAAGAGGATATTTGCAAAATATGTTTACGTGTCCTCTGCTTCAGTTAAGGAGACTGAAGCTGGGCTCACACTGGGAGATTTCGGGCCTGATCTGAGTTGGAACACTGCCCTATAGTCAGTCAGTGGGGACGGAGGATTAGGATTAAAGAATAAAAATTGAATTTTTAAGGTTAGAAACAATATTCCCCCTGAATAGGTTTCGCTTATACTCTAGCTATACAGTAACAGAATGCTCCACACCACAGATCTAAGGGAAAGCCAGTAGAGCAGATGCTTACTTAGTCTTTCATTAATACTCATGACAATGCATAACCACAGCAGGAAGCATTTACTGAGCGTCTTTTAAGTGCTTTGCATTCAGTATTTTGTCCTCCTCAGAATAGCAACAGAAGGTAGACAGTATTCTGACCCTTTTTCCAAAAGAGATTTAACAACTTCCCTCAGTCACACAACTAAATACCAAAACCAAACCCACTGCCGTCGTGTCAATTCCAACTCATAGCAACCCTAAAGGACAGAGCAGAACTGCCCTGTAGGGTTTCCAAGGAGCTGCTGGTAGATTTGAACTACTGACCTTTTGGTTAACAGCTTAACTCTTAACTACTTTGTCACCAGGGCTCCGACAGGCTTCCCCAACTCTTGGAGATGGGCTTACTTTCTGAGAAGGACATTATTAAAAACAAAACAAAACAACCTCACAAAATATAATCAGATGGGTGATAGCAGCTATTAAGGTAAATAACCCACCCTCAGCTGTGTTCAGTCAAGGGCTGGCTCGATGGGGAAAGTCACGGCAATACACAGAAAAAGTAAGCATCCTGGTAAAATCAGTGTATTTAGGTAATAATGATTGTAATTATTTTCAGTGATTAACATTTCTATTACTTGTGCTCACATTCTTAAAAGGAATCACATTATTATTTATTTTCTAACCCCACCTTATCTCTTTTTAATATTGATTTTCTTTTTATCCTGTTTTTATAATTCTTTTGATCACTTTGACTTCCCTTGAGATGTTTATTTCCTTTTCTTCCCAACTGGTCTTTTTATTCTCTCTTACAAAGATTTCAATCAATGCTTTCCACATAATGTTTATTTTGCCTGCCTTTGCAGTACCCACAAAGGAAAACATGTCAGAAGGTTTTACTAGGAGAATCACAGAATGTAGGCGCAGAAAAGTCCCTCTGAAATATTTCCGTCTAAACCCATTGTTTTTAGAGGAAGAAACTTCATGTAAAATACTTTCTTTTATTAACATAGACCTGTGTTTTGTCTTTACTCATTTTAGGGGAAGACATCATCTGTCACTAGCTGTGTGGCATTAAACAAGTTATCCTGGGCTCTGTGGCTTAGTTGACTCATTCCGAACGGTGGTAACAATGCCTGTCTTCCTTCCCTCCTTCCTTCCCTCCCTCCTATCCTTCTTTCAACCCGCCTTCTTTCCTCCTCGGGCTGGCGAGAGTCAGATTGAGACATCTGATTGAAAACACATTCATAAGGCTTAAAATACCTATTCAAATATCTAACTATTTTCTTCCTTTTCTTGTTTTAAGGTTTCTTTTGTCACTTAACCTACCAAACTGTCTTTTATATATTTTTTAATGGCTCTTGATTATGGCTTTATTTTTCTAAGCTTTTTCAACATTGTTTTTCAACTTTGACAGTTTCCCAAAGTTGCAGAGAGCTTAGGTCATGATGGACGGCTGACTCTGGTTTGAGGAGTCAGATGGTGACACAGAAAAGTCAAAAAGAATGTATTACAAGGCTAGAAAAGTTAATTCCCTCTTTTCCACCATCAGCTTTTGATACAATAAACAATTTTGATATAATAAATAATTCTACTAGTGGCTAACACTTATTGATTACTTGCTAGGTAGTATGCTAAGAACTTTATATATGTGAATATTATTTAATTCTTCAAATAACCTTATGAGATAGGTACTACTACTATCTCCATTTCATAACTGAGGAAACTGGCAAAAGTTACAAGGTTATTAAACAGAATTCAAACCCAAGTTTGTTTAACTCCTGAGCTGGAATTTTTAACCCTGACACTATCCTGCAGTCAAATGAATGAGAACGCAGAACAATAACTCTCAAATCTATTTTTAATACTCAGAGTAGAAGAGATGTACATGTCAGACAGTGGGGTGGTAACAATGACACCCAGGTCAGTACCTCTAAGAAACGCTAACAGGTAAGCAGAGTGTTGCAGGAAAGCTGAATTTTCGAGGCTGGGTCTCTCAGGGCTTTATGCTACACTTTCATAATCAGAGTGCAGGGGCATGCTGCATAAAAGAGACCCATTTCCCTGCTGAGGTTTTTATCTCTTAATATCCAGAATAGTTTCAGATTTACTGAATTGGTAAGGAAAAATCGGAGAAAAAACACAGGCCAATTTCACAAACTTCAAGTAGGAAGAACAAAACCTGTAGAAAAAAGAAAAACTCAGCAGAGGAGAAACAAGTAGGGTCCTAGTTCAAACTCTTGATATCTCTGACAAATTTATGTGTGTGAACTGGAAGAATTCAGTTAAATACTCTCTACAAATTCTCCAACCAAAACAAGTCTTATGAATTTTAAAAGCAATTAAAATCATTTAGCACAGTGAAAAAAGCATGAGCTTTGCAGTCAAATGGAAATGGATTTGAGTTCTAGATGTACTACCTGCCACCTGACTTTGGACAAGTTACTAGACTACAAAAATCTGATTTTAGGTATGTTACTAAACTACTAAACTGAACTACTCTAAGCATGGATCCTCATCTATAAAATAACAATCAAAATGAACAGTACTATAGCCTTTGCTGTCAGATACCCATCATCCCTTGTCTGGTGCCTTGCACAGAGCACAGGGGCTCAATCAGTGTTGGTGTCTTTCACTCCTCCCATAAAATCTTCTGGAGCTGTGGGTCCTCTTAGTATGAAAAGAGAATGTGGGAACCACCTTCTAAATTTTGTCCAGCTGAAAAATCTTCACATTTTAATGCAATAATTTGGGGTTTCACAACAAGGAGCTTGATTGCAGCCACCCCATAGTCTGTTTATCAAGGAATATGCATATCTGACAGTGGGTCTAGGAAGTCTAAAAGCAACCGAACTTCAGCGAAGGCAGAATGAGGCAGTATAGAAGGGTTTCAAAGCCACAAGTCCTTATGAAAGTCCAGCCTACTCCATCCTGTACTTAATTCAAGCACTCGTGACACCCCCTCCCCCTTTCAGCAATCCCAGTGGTGGCTGTTTTATGCTCTATCTTTTCCAGGAATTTTCAGTCATTGACAGGGTATCTCCATCCCAGTTTGACAGGATGAGTAAATCTGATCATTACTTCTGCCACAAGGACCTATAAAACAAACAGGCACTGAAAAGCAAGCGCCTTTCCTAAGGTGACATATCAAGCCATTTACAAAAAGAACTTTAAAATAGCTCCCATTCTCAGTCTTACCCAATTAAGTCACATTTTCTCTGTGACTTTAATAGCTCCAGGCTTTACTCTTACTTCATAAATCACAACCACAACCTTAGAAAAATGATTCAAATTATATCAATCAATAAGTTTTTATTGACTGTTTACAATCAGCCTAGCGCTCTACCAAGCGCTGTAAGACCCAAGCGTCTAATGTGGGGCCTGAGCCCATCCACTGCTCTGACAGGATTTCAAGCCTTATAAACAGACCATGCCCTTGCCCTTGTCCTTCCTATAATCTGGCATTCAAGGGCCTTGCAATCTGGCGCAAGCCTACCTTTCCAGTTATTATTACTTTTAATCTCTCTCTACTACTATTGTCCCTGTGTTTTGTGTTTGTATGTGTGTATGTCCATGTTTGCATTTTTGCTTTTTCTCTCTCTCACCAAGAACCCGGCTCTTCGCCTGTTTGCTGAACAGTTACTCATTCTTTATGACTCATGACAAACCCCATCTCTTCCATGAAGCTTGCTCTACCACCTTCTTTGGAACTGCCTCCTTCTTCTTTGAAACGATTGCAGGTTGGCTTGCTGTACCACTCAGAGGACACTTAGTTATCATCCATCTAGTCTATAAAGTGAGGTAGGACTGGAACTCTCTCTCATCTTGTGATATTTACTATGGTACTTTTCTCATACCGAAGGCTTAAGTAACATCTATTGAATGTAAAATATTGGTGGAAGAAGTTGCATTTGAGGTGAGCCTTTAAGAACAGTAAAGATGAACCAGGACTTGGAGACCAACTTAGACATGGGGAAGCCTAGGCAAGAGACAGAAATGAGAAGCATGGGATTCTTCTAGGGAACGGCAAGGAGTTCATTTCATCTAAAGCTTAGAGAGCGTGAATCCTAACAGTGGTTCATGTGATTGAAAAATAGGTTGAAGGGCCTTGCACTTAGCCCCCTCTAAATGGAACTTTATTCTGAAGACACTGGATAACCATCGAATATCTCTAAACAAGAGAGCTATTTTCAGAACTTTGGGTCATTGGCAGAGGTACTGAAAATGCATTAAATATAGTTGGGCTGAGAAACGAAGACCCCGGTAAGGTATCTACTGCAACAGTACAGGGCAAAAAGGGCACCAAGAGCTTGAATAAGGTAAGTGGCTTTGGGAGCACAAAACATATTATAGAGGCAGGATCAAGAGATATTTAAAATAATGATGGCAAGGAGTCCAGTGAAGGTAACACTGAGGATGGTGGTGCCATTAAAAAAAAAGAAAGAAAGAAAAGAAGAAATGCTAGAAGAAGAGGAAACTTTGAGGAAGATTAACTCTATTCTGAATATCTGTGTCTGAGGTCTTGTTCAGACATTGAGGTGAAGGTATCTACATGGTAAGTGAAAAGTAGTGCTACAACTCAGGAAAAACACTGGATTGAAAATCATCAACATGAAAATGAAAGCTTGAGCCCGTATCGAGGAGAAGGTTGCCTAAGCCAAGTGTCGTGAAGCACACGATGACACAGGGTTGAGGCCAGGTCCTCTGGTAACACTGACACTTTGAGGGTGACAGGAGGAAGACACAATGGTCAGTGAGATGGGAGAAAAACTAGGACAGCACTGTGGTATGGAAGCCAAGTAAAGAGGATGATTATTCCTTTAGGAAACAAACTAACAGCAGCAAGAGATAAAAAATCACTTACCTTGTTGAAAAGATGAAGGTTAAAAGCATAAAGCTCAGCTGAATAGAAAATACTGAAGGGAAAAAAAAAAAAAGATTGAATCTAAATTAGCACTATAAAAACAGTATTTGTAGCATATATTTGCTGCAATGCTTAGTTTTACCTGAAACTATGGGTACTCAAATAGAAACACAAACACATAAATGGAACAAACACATACTGCTCAACTGATAGAATCATTTAAATTAGTGGGACTCAAGCTGTTCTAATTGAAAATATCCCCAGACATAATCTGTGATAATTGCCATTCAGGAAAAATCTAAAGCCCTCTTTGATTTGGTTATTTAATTTGGTCAATCTAGAAAAAGTTAGTTTATATTATGAATATTTACAGCAAATACCATAAATGCCATAGCATACAATATGTATTCTGGAATAACTTGTGATTTTAATAAGAAAATCTTTGATATTACAATAATAACAAAGGTTATCTTTGGTATAACATAAATAGAACATATGCTCAAGTTACTGAGTAACTTTCCTTGCCATTTCCCTAAAGTTATAATATGAAACTAAGTATTCTTTTCTAACCAAATTAATGTTTGAAATAAATTTAGAGCAAACAGATCACTACACACTGCTATTGAGGAGACTGAGGAACAGCAAGATATCCCATCTTCCCACTTACTTATGAACACTATGACAATAAGGCTGAATTTATCCAGGTCAATGTTTGGATTAGAGAACGTGTCACAGAACGTTGTGTAGATGATCATGAGGAGCACACTACTGCTGACAGCACCAAAAGGAGGTTTCTTTCTTTCAAGCCAATCCTTGATGTATCTTCGGACAATCTGAAATATACAGAGATCAACAGGTTGCCTCTTCAGAGATGTAGGGAGCCGAATTGGGCATCACAAAGTGATTCTGACAGCAGAAAGACATAAAGGAAAGAGAATAATTTGGATGATGGCCACAGTGGATTTCAAAGCTTCCCGGCCACACCATTCTTCTCCTGGGGAATTTAGCATTTGCAGTGCAACTTCCACTGGGTATTCATAATGAGAGTATATTTTCAACCGCATTAAAATCCATCCTTAATCATGCCAAACGCTCTTTGCTAGCTGTCACTGAGACATGGCCATTAAGCCTCCCCAAAGTTTATCTCCTCTGCTGATCCTAATGGATGTGTGTAATTATCACAGTCCCTTTTGCCTCAACACAATTCCAAGTACAACTTTGGGAATCTTAAAAATCTGACATCTTCAAGAACTTCTAGATGGGAGATAATCGAAAGTGATCCATGGAACATATTAATATTTAAAATGCTAGCAATGCACCAGAAGTTTTTAATTAAATTATAACTCATGCTTGAAAAGCAAAAGTGCATGTGTTGTGGGAGTTTAAATAATTCAAACTCTGAATATCTAGAGTTTTTGTGAATCCAAAGACAAATGCCATTTGCATGCTCTTAGAATCCCAGAATTAACACTTAAAAATGAATAAACCTGCCCTAACTTTCCTACAAAAGGATCAGTGAAATCTAAAGTTACACAGTAGTCCTCTTGTCTTAAAACCAAATCAGATAAATTTAAAACAGGACAGTCTGAATATTGGTAATAACTTTGGTTTGAACCACTCTGCTTAAAACCTCTCACTTTTGAAAGAAATTGAACGAGCCCTATTATAAGGACTATAGTTGAGACATATTAAATTTTGACTCACTCATTATCCTGTATAATTGAACATGAGATTTCACAACAGGCTGAATTACCATGATCCATTAGCAATAACGAGGTCAGGGAACTTCTGACAAGGCTGATGGGGTTCTGTTATCTACAAAATACTCTGTCATTAAAAAGGCTTAAATTCATGATGGAGCATACCTTTACAGATACCCAGGTACAAAATAAACTGCTCTCAATAGAACTTTCGAACAAATGGCTGTTGGATCAACTCTTAGCATTCTGAAGAATTCACTAAGTGAAATAATAGTGTAAATAAAGGGAGTCTCAGCAGAAAGGTGACCGGTTGGAACGAGGTATAGGGGAAAGCCTGGATGGTTGCGAGGGGTGGGAATGAAGCAAGAGAGTATTATGTACAGAGTGGATAGCATGTTAACTAGCTAAATAGTTCAAAAAAATTTTTTTAAGGAGATTTTGTAATGAAAGTTACAGTTGTATTTATAAAAAAAATTCTGTGCCTTTTTTTTTTTTTTTGCAGAAGTGATCCCAAACCATAGTCATTTATCTAGTGCTCATTCCTTTCTTTAAACTTAAAATGTAGAGAAATAAGAGAAGTTCTATACTAGAGCACAAATTTTGGATAGTAGAACATGCAAATGTTCAGACATGCCCCTGTGGAAGTAACGGCTTATTGTAAGTCTACAGAGGGACTTCAATGAAAATGTCATTTCATAATCTATTATGTTTTATAGTGTAAGGCTGGTAGTTGCCAAGATTTAATACAATACCTTTAAAAAATAAAATTAATGAAAATTACACAGGAGTTATTAAAATTGACATTCTCCAATCTTATTTTAATATACAATAGTTAAAAAAACACGAAAGTCCTCATTGTACAACATGTTATAGAATGTATGCTCCCAATTCCAAAAGTAAGAGTGTCTTCCTCTTCCACCACGACCCCGCTCCCAAAATATACACATAAACATGAGTGCGGTGTATCTTGGAAGTCAAAGCCATTTTAAAAAACAAGACAAATAATCAATTTTATAAGTAGTAATGACTTAGTTAATCTAACTGTCTGTTTTCTTCATTACACAGTACTCAGAGTCTCATTATATGACTCTTTCAATACAGGTGACTCCTGGGTCCTGAATCTTTCTAAGCAAAATAACTTTCTTCTAAACCCATCCATGCTGAACACTTAATTGTGATAAAGAAAACAACTGAAAAGTTGGGAATCGGACAAAGACCCACAAGTGAAACAATAACCCTAGGGAAAAATAGGTTGTCCTTCACCCTTTTTAGTTCTACAGTGATCTTTTTCTGGGTTTTCTAAGTAAAGCACTTTCTACCTTCCAGGCTCCATAGAACTTTTCTATCTTCCTCTAAAATTAAATTCATGAAGCAGCTGCTTTTTCATTGTGTAGTCAGAAAAATGTTAAAATGTTTCATAAGCAAAGCTAGGTGAAGTAGTACTGACATGCTTCAAAGATGTGTTTTGGTTATAAACTACAAGAAATCTCATCTTCTCTTAGTTCCACCACTAACAACTTTGACACTATCATTCTCCATTTGTCAAGAATCTATGTCATTTAAAAATTTTTCCAAACTTCCTTGCATTACAGAAATGTTTAATAGCCTCATAGGAAACGAGACTTTGCTAGAGATGGATCAACACAACCTGATATAGACACCTCAGAATTCTCTCTTGGAAAGACAAAAAAGAAGTCAAGATGAAGGTAGCAAAAGGTATTCTGGAGAGGTGGCCATTGTATCTTTCGTCAGAATCTGTATTAATTCATTTGTCCTCGTAGCTCAGAGAAATTAAGGCATTCTAGATTAAGTAGCAAATCCTCATTAACTGTTTACTTTTCCCTATGGAGAGAGAAGGAAAAAATTCCTCCACAGGAAGCTTTGATCTTATTGTCTCCAAATTCTTATTTTCTTTATTTTAAATTAAGTACTAGGAAATGTTAAAGGAAAACTTAAAATTGATTCCTTGTAATTCTAACGAGTGGGCCAAATATCAACTGCTGCATGACTTCCAATCTGGAAGTCATTCATTCTTGGGTGAAGAATGTTGATACACCAATATAACTATGAAGTATAATATCCATTTGTCTTAGTTCTAGGGCTGCTATAACAGATATACTCCAAGTGGGTGACTTTATTTTCTTATAGGTAGGAAGCTAGAAATCCAAATTCAGGGCACCAGCTCTAGGGGGAAGCTTTCTCTCTCTGTTGGTTCTGGGGAAAGGTCCTTGTCTCTTCTATTGTTTGGTGATCTTCATGTGGCATGGTATCTATCTTCCCCCATCTCTGCTTGCTCCTTTTATATCTTGTTTTATATCTGTTGGAGCCCTGGTGGCTCTGTGGTTAAGAGCTTGCCTGCTAATCAAAAGGTCGGCAGTTTGAATTCACCAGCCACTCTTTGGAAACCTCATGGGGCATTTCTACTCTGTCCTATAGGGTCGCTATGAGTTGGAATCGACTTGATGGCAAACGATTTGGTGTTTTTTGGTTTTTGTAACTGTTATATCAAGACACACCCTACACTAATCTTGCCTCATTAACATAACAGAAAACTCATTCCCAAATGGGATTATAACCACAGGCGTAGCCGTTAGGACTTAAAACACATATTTTTGGGGGACACAACTCAATCCATAACACCATCATTTTCATTTTCTTCATTTTCTTTTGGTCAGGGTATTTCCTTGCTTTTTCTTTCCGCTTTGTCTTTACATTTATAAATTGATTTTGGAGTGGCGCTATATGATGGATAATTTTTCATGTTAAGAATGAACTTTAAAATGTATTTTTCTTCCAGGTGGTTTAAGATTATTTCTGCCATTTTTATCTTTTAATCCACTGGCTTTAGATATTTTCATAACATGTTTTGTTTCCTCATTAGTATCCTGCTGAAATGTATAGTCAAGGATATAAAATCAAATCCAATTTGTATACCACTTTACTTTAAATACATTTTTATTAAACATTTAGTAGATTCAAAATAATATTAATACTTTGTAAAAAGTATAAAGAAGAATAATAATAAATGGGTACAGTAAACACCCATTATCCACTTAATATTTCAAAAATTATTTCCTATCATTTCATTCTCATGAAGAAGGTTGTGCAGCTATTATCTCGCTCATTTTACAATTGGAAGCTGAGACACAGAGAGCCCAAACAATTTCATAAAATGTCAAAAAGCTAATGAGGTAGATGAGCAGGATTATGATGACTCCCTCCAGAGGGAACCAGAGCAGAGAGGTGCAAAGGTACAGACTCTGGAGCCAGACTATGCCTGAGTTTGAATCCTGATTTCACTGCTTTCTGTATAATCTTAAGCAAATTCCTTAACTTCCCTGTGTCTTATCTGTAAAATGGGTATAAGAGTAGTTAGTAGATTAACTAATTTTACTTTAAATGCTTTAGAACCAGGGCCTTTACGTGGTAAATGGTCACTATTCTTACCTCCAGTTCTCAGTTTAAGGGTATTTCTATCACAACACTGTTTACACAACATTGTCTACCAGTATATCAACTGCATAATGCAGTAGCTACTTTTCTCCAGAAGTAATTCAGGTAAAGCAATGATAATAGCTCATATCTAATTTTATAGGTAGCAAAAGTATACTAGCATTAATAACACTAACTGTAGCTTTAGTTGAAGGCTATTTAATAGGAAAGGCCAGTCTCAAACTGAAATAAATCACTAATGGAAAGACTAGAGAACATATGAATGATAATGTACAGATAGGCTTTTTTATTATTAATCTATAGAAAAAAATGAGTTTTAGCATGCTTTTCTGAAAAACGTTCAAGGTGAAAGTATTGAAAGGTAGTAGAAATTCAACTTTATTAACATTTATTCATAAATCATTTAAATGTAGTTCATTAAGTAAATATTTGTCATAAGCACTTAGATGTGTTGAAAGGGTTGTCAGAAAAGGAGAGGAAATAACTACAGTGGAACACATTTTCTTTAGAACTGACAGAAGAAACAATCTCTCAACAATCTATGGAAAGACTAATTTTATCTTATGGAGTCACAGCACACGAGCTATAAGATATAAAAATCCTCGTTCTATAAATGAGGAAAGTTAAGTCTAGAAGTTGTGTACATAGCTGGGCAGTGGTAAAGACCAAGTTAGACCTCA